TGTTTTAATTGACTTTCTTGTTCATTTTATTAATAAATATAAAAGTATCAGTATTTATAATTTGAGTTTTTTTCAATAGTTTGATACTATTGTAATAGTAATAATATTCTAAGTAATAACAATATTGTTAATAATATTTAGTAGATTTGAAAATATATTGATAACATTATTTTCATATTGTTAAAAAAACCAACAACATAAAGATTGCAATATTTAACTTTAAATAATTTAATTATATTAATATCAAGTAGTTATAAATGATTAATAGTATTAGGTAAAAGAAATCTAATAATAATATTTGTAAGTATAAGTTTATTTTTAATATGTTTAGATGTATTATTAATAAGAAGAAGAATATTTCTATTTTGAGTATATATTTAAGTATCTAATTTTTTAATTCAAGATTTAAACAAGATACTTATTATCTAAGTTTTTTTATTAAATATATAATTAATTAACAAATTAGCAATATTAATTTTATGAAATAGTTTTAGCATTTTGATATAATCAATAATAAATAATTGAATTTTTTTAATACTTAATAAATTATAACAAAGTATTGTAATTTTTTCTTTTTAGAACATAATATAATTGAAAATATCTTATTTGATAATATTCTCCAGAAAAGTCTGATTCATTAATATTAAAAATATTATTAGATGTATATGTTGAAAGAAGTTCTTGAAATGTAATATATATTTTAGGAAGAGTATTAAGTGATACATTATCTATTTTACCATATAACTTGATTTGATATATGTTATGGCATACTTTAAATCAAGATAACTATTCATTTAATTTTTTTAAAATTTCATTAGTTATATTTAATTGCATAGCAATAAGATTTACCTTTCTAATAAAATAGCATTATTAAAAAAAAACTCCAATATGCATTGTTTCAAGATGCCACTTCTATAATTTTTTTTTGATTTGAAGAAACTTTGGAGTGCATTTATAAATTTGTTGATTTAATTGGATTACATCATAGTTTAACCATTTATTTTTTTTGTTTGAGCAATATAGTAATAAGAGTTCGTTTCTTTTGAAACTTATCAGCAATAACTTGATAAGTTCATTTTGAATCATTTGCAATGGTTTTAGCAAATTCACAAAAAAAAATTTTTTTGATAGGTAAGGTTTCTTTTTGAATTTATTTTTTATTAGGTTGATATAAAAATGAAGGTGGAGGTGGAGGTAGAAGTAAAGGTGGAGATAAAGATAAAGGCAGAAATAAAAATGACATTATAAAAAATCAAAAAGAATTGCTTAAAAAAATATAACAATAATATCACGATATAATAATAATAATTATTAAATTTATACTGTAATTAGAATAATGCATGCTAATGTAGGGTCATATGTCGTAATAACTGTAAAATTTAGAAATAGAGCTACAGTATTTCTTCAAAGCACTTGTTTTATAACAATGCAAATAGAGCTATTTCTTTATCGTTGCAAACTATTTTTCAAAGCACTAAATGAAGGAAAAACTTCCTTTTTCTTCTCTGATGTACACAAATGGTTACATTCAGCAGGAGATTACTTCTTTCCGGAATATATTCGAGCCCCACTTCATCGCTTACATGGCGAGTATTCTTGGGACCAGAAAGACACTAATAAAATAATAGAGTTAATCGTAAAAGCACTTTCCCGTGTATATCCTTCCTACTTCACTTCGGAAATGGTCTCTATTAATTACACCAATAGAACTACTGGATGGGCATCCTTTAACTCTTCCCAGAGTCTTATGAATAGTTATGAAGCTAATTTGCAAAATAAACTTGTTAAAAATTTCGAATGTCTCTTTCCAAAAAATTGGCTTTTAGGTTTTAAGCTCCTGTATAAATATGACTGGCATCCAGTTCCGAATCGTCCAGACAAGGGGAGAAATGACATTATTCTTACGAATGGAAAGGGAATCTTCGCAGTTGTCGAGACAAAAGTCATCAATTCATATAACAGTTATGAAAAGCTCCGTGATGTAAAAAGACAGGCCACTGATTATAAAGCCATGTTCCTTGAACACTTCGCCGATGATCCCGCAGTTATTGCAGTTATTGGTGTTTGGTTTACAAATGAAAACCGGGTTGGATTCTCTAGTGAAATAGACGAGACAATTGCCAAAGTCGTAGAACCGGGTAAAGTCTGTTTATATATTAATAATCAACATATCTATTGAATACTTTTAATAATCTTATCTATTTTATTTTCTATTTTTTTACTAAATAATTCTTAAGACAACCCTCATTCACTTGGTTATCTTTTAATTTTGCGGGGGATTCTCGTATCACTCTGCATTTTGAGTTCCATCATGGTTTTTTGTGGATACATAAACTACCATCAAAATAGGTTAAGTAATCATCAATACTATGAACTTGAATTTATTTTCTTGGGTTTCTTCGCATTTATTTTCTTGATTGGAGTACAATGTGAAATATATTTATTAACGGCTTTGTAAATTGGCACTAGCACTTCTCTTTGCTATTTGAATTGTTCATATTTCATTCTAATTAGGGATGTATCATCAAAAAGATTGAAAATAAAAGAAATTATATATATGGGTAATTATTTTCGAAGGTGGACCAGAAATTTTCTGGTGTGTTCCTAAAATTTATATTATATACAGTATGTATTGTTTAAAAGCTGGGTCTGAAAAAATTATATCTAGTATTTTTGTCGCCTTCAAAAATAATTACTCATATTTATATTGCCCAGTCATATAATCTTTGATCGAGTCATTATGATCGTTAGCACACACGTATTCCACATTAGCATACATAATAACTACTGTAATACATTTGTTTAGAAAGCAAAATCGAATGCTAGGACATCGTGTCTGGGCCTGACACAAATACAAACTGCCCGTCATCTGAGGTGCATGCTAGATGATGATCTAGTTATCAAGCCATAGCACATGTGCCTTAATGGCTCTCGAGTAATGACATTATAGTCAACGAGTTGTCATCTGAAAACTAGATTTTGGAATCTCAAAAATGACGACACGAATGCAATCAGCCCATCAAACTCATGATGGAATTGGTCACAGATATATTATATATGCCCTTACTGTAACACATGGAGTGATGTCGAATTTTGTGATGAGGCCAATTCGATATGTGACAGTTTGAGTGCGGCCTAAAAATAAAACACTGGTTATTTGAGTGTGGCCTAAAAAATAAAACACATCATACTTAAGCGGGGCATCATAACCTACGTTATGATACACAACATATCACATATAGAAATCATCGAAAAATAAATCACATCACATATTAAAGTGGGAATAACCTAGACTAAGTGAAAATAACATAATTATGTTATTTCCACTTCTGAAATGATGTTTACCTACAAAAAAAAATTTTTTGATTTTTATAATTGATATTATCTATTAAAAAATTATATTGAATAATTACCATTTAAATATAATTCATATTAAAAATGGATTATATTTATTTAATAAAAAACTTAGATTGAATTTAATAAAAAATTTTTGAAAATAAGCTTATTATCAATAGATTTATCGATTTTAAAAACAACCAATTAAATTATAAACCAATTAAATAAAAAATAAAATAAAATAAAATTAAATTATAAAAAAATCACACACATATATAATCCTGTCAGACGTTATTTGGTAAACTTAATTATTAGAAAAGGTTAATAATAATTTACTATTTTATTGTCAATAAAAATTTATTAAATAATTTTAATTATTAAAATTTTAAAATAAAGTATGTATGCTGTACGTATCTTTTATTTTATCAGTTATTTATTAGATTAAAAGTTGAAATAGATATCTAAAATATCACATGTCCTGTTGAAAACTCTAAATTATTCATTTAAATTAAAGCTTTGGGTTTTTTAAAGTTCAATTGCGTCTTTGTTCTTTAAACAATGTCATTTATTTTTAGCTTGAAGCTATAATATGGTTTAGGGACCAATAAACGTGTGATGATAAATTTTTACATAATAATTCGGGGTTCATTTAACATGTTGATTTTAGTCAACACGTAGAATTATTGGTATATACTCGGTAGATACACTTATGAAGATCTTTTCATGCAGCCAGAAGTGATTACCAATTAACATAAATTTTCCTATACAAGATAAAAAATCATTTAGTTAAACTTTCTCAATTGTGATAACCACTTACTAATTTGTCTAACGAATGTTTTTATGATTTCCAAATATGGATATAATGGCACACCCATTTATATATAATGGATTTACACAAGCTACCAAAAGTAACAAGTCAATGTATTTTGTTTTTATTGAGACAATGTTTTCGTCGTTATTAAAAAAACCAGACGGTTGTACATTCAACTTTTACATTCGACATGTAAAACCTTGTTTACCACGTTGCCTTTGTCCTTATTCCAATGTACATTTAGCAATACAGTGTCAAACAAACCGGATTTAAATATCAGAAATTCCTTTATAAATAAAGCGTTTCGATGAACTTGGTATTCTAAAATAGAAAAATTTAATTGAATTAAAAAATCCGATATTTTTTGTTTTGATAACAATAATATTTACAAAATGAGAGAATTGGGCCCCAAGGAACACCGAATTTCGATTGATCATGAAAAAATTTTACCGCCCGTCGGGAAAAGTGAAGTTTCGAGCGATTCCGAAAATTTTCCACATAATGGAAAAAGAGCAACACGGGTTGTTGACTCACCAAAATTAGACCCCCGGGAACACCGAATTTCGATTGGTTGTTTATCACCCAGGAAAATTGAAAAGTTACCACACAATGGAAAAAAAATAACACGTGTTGTTTGCTCACCAAACATGAAGTATATTGCAACTGCGAATTTGGATGATCGTTCGGTTTGCGTGTGGAAATTCACAGACGAAAAAGAATTAGTGTTGGATAATTCATTCGACCTTAAAAAAACATGTTTAATGGAACCAATAAGGGTCTCTGATTCTAAAAATATCCTTATAGGAAATGGTTGTGAAAATTCTTTAACCCTCGGTAAGTTTGGAGTTAATCTTAAAGTTGTAATCGCCTTTTTTTTAACATCGCATATAATATTTCAATAGAAATCAGAGGTTACAAAACCAAGTCAATGAGATTATTGAATGATCAAAAAGAAGGTTTTAAAGGAAAAATTGATTCCTCTGGATTTCTTAAAAACGGAGAGTTGGTGATCGTTGAGGGAGATCCTGTATATCAAGTCTACATATTTTCTAATAACAAAAACCAGTGGCACTGCACTAATATCATTAAACTCGTGAAATATAGAAGTTGTACTATTTCTCAGGAAAAATTGCTCATTCTCTTAGATATGCCTTTTGTAATCGCGCAATTGAATTTGGTAACACAAAAATTCGAAGAACAATACGAATTAGATTGGAATTTGATTAAGTTTCGGAAATCGATTAGGATGAAACTAAACAGTGATTGTACATTATTGGCAGTAGCTGGACGCTTAAATAATGAATCGAAAGAACATGGAGAGAAATCAAAAGTCTATTTTTATTTAACAAAACCTGGTACAACGAACGCGTATCATAAAGTGAAAGGGTCTCGTAAGTAATATTTATGTACTGTACAAGTAAATTATCTAATTTTATCACTAACTCATAAATTTATCTAACAGAATCATTTAAGGAAATTTTCCCCGATATTTTTGGTACAGATCATAAGTGCTATTGATGTTTAAATAAATTATCTATTTCTATTACTAACCTATCTATTTATTTAATAGAATCATCTGTTGCAATCAACATCAACATTATGAATTTTATTATCCTAAAGGAAGGGGAATTTTTATTTGTCTATTTTGAAGAAGAGCGCACATCCTATATTATTAATCTATGCACCTTTTCGAAATACAAAAATTTAGTAGAGTTGAATTTATCAGCCGAAAAAGGTTTTATAATTCCTGGTTATATTGTACGATTTCATGATCGTTTACAAAGCGAAAGTTTATCTCGAAATCGTTTACAAATCGAAAGTTTATCTCGAAATATTGAGTGGGAAGATGACATGCACAACGAACCTGGGAAAGATGATAAGATCGATTTACGTTCTTATCGAGAAGAAATAAAAGAAATAATAAAAGATATTTTAGAAAAATATGAATCAAACAAAGACATGGCCCGATGTCTTGAACCAAAAAATTATGATGATCAGCTATACCCTTGGATTGTTGAGTACGTTAAAAGTGGCAATAGATTAGTAGCTAGATTGACAATCAAGCAGCCTAAGGCAGAATGGCATTTCGGAATAGTAGTTGTTGCTTTAAACGCGATTGATCCAGATAATTTTCATATAGAATTTTATCTACTTAAAAGCGATGATTTGATGTTGATTTCCTCTTCTGGCATACAAATCTGGACAGTAGATCCTAACTTCGGCATTAAATTACTTCATTATTGGGCTCATTTGGATACGTATTACAAAGCACTTACGGGGAAAGAGGCGACAATTAACCAACTTAAGTTACTAAAGGACAAATTAGATTCTAAATATTATGAAAACTCGTTACCTTCTCCGTATTTCGACCAAATCATTAAGCATAACATAGTAGTGTATAAAAATGTAGATTCAACAGTGGATCTGAAAGAATATTCAACAGTGGATCTGAAAGAATATTCAACAGTGGATCTGAAAGAATATTCAACAGTGGGTCCGGAAATGCAGAATAATGAAGATCCGGAAATTTCGCATGGAGATTTGTTGAATAGATACGTATATGATAAATCGTTTGTGGAATTACACGGAAAAGAGCTGTTCCAAGAATTATTTAAAATGGGAAGAGTTGACTTTAATGATGGGAATTACACTAAATTCATTATTGAACATATTTCAGCAAAAGCGCGTCTGGATTTATTCAAAGGAGAGCTGCTACACGATTTAATTAAAAGTAAAAGAGTTGACAATAGTAGAAAGTTATTTAAATTAATTATTAAATATAGTTTAATTCAGTTTGAGAATTCCAATTTTACTTCAGACTTTAATCAATCATTAGAAGCGGTTACTGATAATCTTGCAGAATTAGAATCACTCGATAAAGATTATAGATTTACAGAACGTTTTCTATCCAAAACTGCATTATTAATTCCTAACGAATATGATCATATTATGGATGACTCATCTATTTCAATTCACACAGACCCTTACAAAACTTTTCCATATTCATTTAACACATCACTTTTCGATCGCCTATCTTTCTGGTCAAAAAAACCCAATTTCTTATCTCCTAAAAAAACCGTTAAATTAATGATACCCTTATTAAATTTTGCCACCTACCCCCCTAAAGAAAAATATTCTACTTATAAGGAGTTGATTAATCCACGCGGCAACTCTTTTACCTCATTAGATTCTCCCGAGTATTTTAAATGGCCGAACATTAAAGCTCTTATCGACTTTAAGTGGAACACGTATGGGAAAAAGTATTATTTTTTAATCTGGACAATTTACTCGATATTTTTACTATGTTTTGCCACGATCGCGACGATTCCACCAAAATATATGTCATGGGAATGTCAGGAAGCTCTTTTGAGGACAACAATTTTTTTGGGAATTTTACAGTTTACCTTTGAAATTCGACAATTCATCCACTTTCCAAAAAAAAATTATCTCCAAAGTCCTTGGAACTGGTTTGGTTTGTATAATTAATATTCAAATGCATAATATTTATGATGTTAAAAAGTCCTAACTTAATTTAATTCGCAGACACTGCCGCCATATTTTTTCCAACAATAACCTCGCTTATATGGCTACTTGACAAAAGCCCACCATTATGGATTATTGTTATATCAATACTTGTACTTGAACTCAGATTTTTGATCTTTTTCCGTGCTCTGGATCACTACGGAACATACTTTGCAATTATGGTCGGAGTGATAAAAAAAGTTTACTACTTTATTATAATTTTGGGAATTATTGTTCTAGCATTTTCCCATTCTTTACACCTCCTATTAAGACCGACCACTGATTATTCTTATAATGAACCAAGCTACACCAATGATGGAAACAATCCTTGGAACCTTGTTTCAAGATATCAATCCATCTCCTCCGATGGAATTATTGGAAAACAATCTCTTATTGCAACTCCAGATGAAAACACAAATCCATTTTCTGCATTTGATACTGCTCTATTAGCGGTTTATTTCATGTTAACGGGTATTGTATGATAAAATTATATGATTTTTAATATAATATCAATTGATGATTTTTTTTTATACATTATTAGGAGATAGAAGTTCAGTCTCGTCATGGACTCTGAGAAATAATCAGACATTGGCGTTTATCTTAGTTGCGTTTTCATTTTTTACAGCAATTTATCTAATGAATTTATTGATTGGATTACTTAATATGGCAATCAATGACACAAATAATGAAAAGTCGCTTTTATACTTAAGGGGAGAGGTATAATATTTTTCATTCATGTATTTCGTTATTATTCGATAAAATTATGCTTTGTACAGTATAAAATTAATAATAATTATTATCCCTTACAGATTTTAGCGGACATTGAACTTTTTTGGATGTTGCCCTATCAAAGAAGAAAGGACAATTGGTTTCCGGAGATTTTGTAATTATTTCATAAATATTTCCTATGCATTTCTACTTTGAAGGTTAATCTCACCATTCCTAACACGAAAATTTTTTTTTTTTTAGATATTACGAAGTATCCATTGATAAACTTGCAAATTATGTTGATGAACTTGCAAATTGTGTTAAGAAACTAGAAAATGATAGTGCATCAGAACCATTTGTATCCGCTGTTAAAAAAATTGTCGGATATGAAAAAAAAGTTGATGAAAAGATCAATGAATTAGATAAAAAATTCGACAAGATTGATGAGTTAGATAAAAAAGTTAATATTGATAATTTAAGTAACAATTTTGAAAATATTGATAAAAAGATCAAAGAGTTGGATGAAAAATTTGGCAAGATAGATAATTTAGATAAAAAATTTGAAAATATAGATGAAAGGTTTAATGAAATAATCAATTTAATTAAACAAGGAAGATAGATCTTGTAATTTTCTTTTTAGATATAAATATAGAAAAACGTTTGTTATTTACGATTTCTTTAAAATTCAAGAGAATCGTAATAAAATTCGCGTATAAATATTATTTGTTTATTATCCATTGGCATGCGTATAGTACATAATTTATAAATCTTGAGGCATATATGAATTGGTCGATGATTCTTTATTAATAGCATTTCCTTCTTCCAAACTAGGATTTAACCGATCCTTGCTGATCTTCATTTTTACGTTATCTAACTTATATTTACTCTAACATATTAACATCATACTAGTAATAACCAGTACAAAATTTTGTTTTTTTAAAAAAATAATTATAATTAATATAAAATTTGAATTATATTTTAATCTAATAACAAATTAAAATAATAACCTTATTTAAAATAATTTTTTAAAAAAAAAGAATTTTAAAGTTGTTTATTAATCTAAATAAAACAATGATTTTAAAGAATATGATGATTTAACAGAAAACTCGATAATGAAAATAAATAATATTTCTTCTAGTTAAAAGTCATCAAGTATAAAATCTTAAAAAAAAATACTTTTGCGGAATATTGTTATTTTAATAAAAATAAAACAATTTACGGTAATTAATTATTAATTTACAAATATAATATTAGATCATAAATATATTTTTTGATTTATATAAGTTAGTTATATTGAGTAA